CCTTCAGAGTGAGAAGGGCGGCATATAAATGTCGTCAATAAACAAACAAACAAACAAACAAACCTAGGAAGGGACCTGAATGCAGGTCCCCAGGCCTCCCTCACTCTGCCACCATTTCTAGAGAGACAATGTTTGTTGTAAACCACAAACACATTCTTGGAAGTCGCCAGAATGCATCGTTTTAGACATGCTCAATGTGTTTTAAATAGGAGTCTAGTGTCTAGATCCAGGGAAGTCATGCTATCCCTCTATTCCGCCTTGGTCGGACCACACCTGGAATACTGTGTTCAGTTCTGGGCACCACAACTGAAGGAAAATATTGACATGCTGGAATGTGTCCAGAGGAGGGCGATTCAAAGGATGGAGAGCAAGCCCTATGAGGAGCAGCTTAAAGAGTTGGGCATGTTTAACCTGAAGAAGAGAAGGCTGAGAGGAGACATGATGTATAAATATGTGAGGGGAAAAGCCTCCAAAGAAGGAGCTTCCACCACACTCCAGGGCAGAGAGTTCCACTGCTGAACAGCTCTCCCAGTTAGGAAGTTGTTCATAATGTTCAGGTGGAATTTCCTTTATTGTAGTTTGAAGCCATTGTTCCATGTCCTAGTCTCCAGGGCAGCAGAAAACAAACCTGCTCCCTCCTCCCTATGACATCACCTCACCTCTTTATTCATGGCTATCATGTCTCCTTCTCTTAAAGAGCTCACCCAGCTCTTTAAGCCGCTCCTCACAGGGTTTGTTCTCCAGACCCTTGATCATTTTAGTTGCTCTCCTCTGGACACATTCCAGCTTGTTAACATCTCCCTTCAATTGCGGTGCACAGAATCGGACACAGTGTGATTCCAGGTGTGGTTTGCCCAAGGCAGAATAGAGGGGCAGCATGACTCCCCTGGATCTAGGTAATATGTAGGCTAAACATACCCAGCTCTTTAAGCCGCGCCTCATCGGGCTTGTTCTCCAGACCCTTGATCATTTTAGTCACTCTCCTCTGGACACATTCCAGCTTACAGTCAACATCTCCCATCAATTACGGTGCCCAAAATTGGACACAATATTCCAGGTGTGGTCTTATCGAGGCAGAATAGAAGGGGAGCATGACTCCCCTGGATCTAGGTAATAGAGGCTCCTATTGATGCAGTTCAAAATCCCATTGGCTTTTTTTTGCTGCCGCATGACATTGTTGACTCATGTTTAACTTGTTGTCCACAATGACTCCAAGATCTTTTTCACATGTACTGCTATCGAACCAAGCATCCCCTGTGAATTCCTCACCATTCACTAAGCTGGCTAGATGTGAAAGTGAGAATGACATTGGGTTGTTTTTCGAGCAATATGGGCACGTTCTAGAAGCATTCACTCCTGACATTTCGCCTACATTTATTTTATTTTTATTTATAGCATTTTTACCCCGCTCTTCTCAACCCCCCCCCCCCCGGGGGGGGGGGGGGGGGGGGGGGGGGCGGGCGGACTCAGAGCGGCTAACAAAAGGCAACAATTCAATGCCACAATCAATAACACAGTATAAAACCATAAATACATACAGAGTTAAAACAATAGCAATTAATTAACCAAATTATCATAACAGTCATTAAAACAGTCATTAAAACAATAATTAAAACAGTTGGTGCTGCTTTATGTTTATTGTCCGAAAGCCTGGTCCCAAAACCAAGATTTTAATTTCTTCCTGAACGCCAAGAGGGATGGAGTCGATCGTATTTCATTTGGAAGTGAATTCCACAGGCGGGGGGCTACAGCAGAGAAGGCCCTGTCTCTCATCCCCACCAGCCGTGTTTGTGATGTTGGTGGGAGCGAGAGCAGGGCCTCCCCGAATGATCTTAAGTTACGAGGTGGGACGTAGAGGCAGATGCGTTCGGACAAGTAAGCTGGGTCATAACCTCTGGGATGCTTGCCATAGATGCAAGCAAAATGTCAGGAGAGAATGCTTCTGGTACATGGCCATATAGCCCAAAAATAACCTACAACAGTCTGGTGATTCCAGCCATGAAAGCCTTCGACAACACAGAGAATGACATTATTCATATTTTTAGTATCTGAAGGCCCACCTGGCTGGAACGCAGTCTCTTATTTTCGAGGCCGTTCTTCTCCTGGAGGAGAGCTTCCTTCTTCGCCACGATGGCTTCCCGTTTGGTGAGCTCATCTTCCAGTTCATCCAAGGCCCGGCGCTGCTCAAGGACTTTATCCATCTCAAGGTCCAGCCACTTCTTTTGCTCTTCAATTTTCTGGTGAAAAGGCAGATTAGAGAGTCATGGGTGGAGATGGGTCCCTTATGTCGGCTGATCAAACAACATCTCCAACAAAGTTGCTCCCAGGCATCAGAAGGACATCTAACCACACTGGATTTATTGTAAACTAGCCTTCCCCTGCCACGCGTTGCTGTGGCCCAGTCTGTGTATATGTGTTTTGTGTGTATATATGCATATTTGCTTGTTTTCTGCTTCCCTGGAGATTAGAACGCAAAACAATGGCTTCAAACTACAAGAGAGGAGATTCCATCTGAACATTAGGAAGAACTTCCTGACTGTGAGAGCCGTTCAGCAGTGGAACTCTCTGCCCCGGAGTGTGGTGGAGGGTCCTTCTTTGGAAGCTTTTAAACAGGGGCTGGATGGCCATCTGTCAGGGGTGCTTTGAATGCAATATTTCTGCTTCTTGGCAGAATGGGGTTGGACTGGATGGCCCAGGAGGTCTCTTCCAACTCTTTGATTCTACGATTAATATATATATATATATATGGGTGTATATATGTGTGTGTTTATATATTTGTGTATTTGTGTGTTTATATGTGTCCATGCATATTGTGTATATGTGTGTCTATATGCATATTTGTGTGTATATATGTATGAATGTGGATATGTATATGTGTGTGCATGTGGTGTATATATATGTATGTGTGTTATATGTGTATATTTATGTATGTTTGTGCATATATATACGTGTGCGTGTATGAATGCTTACATGTGTATATATATATGAGTGTATGTTTATATGTATACTAGCCGTCCCCTGCCACGCATTGCTGTGGCCCAGTCTGTGTATATGTGTTTTGTGTGTCTATATGTGTGTGTGTATATTTGTGTATATATGTGTATTTGCATATATATATGGGTGTATATTTGTATGTGTGTATATATTTGTGTATTTGTGTGTTTATATGTGTCCATGCATATTGTGTATATGTGTGCTTGTCTATATGCATGTTTGTGTGTATATATGTATGGATGTGGATATGTATATGTGTGTGCATGTGGCATATATATATATGTGTGTGTGCGTGTGTATGTACGTGTGTTATATATGTGTATATTTTATGTATGTTTGTGCATATATATACGTGTGTGTGTATGAACGAGTCCATGTGTATATGTATATGAGTGCATGTTTATATGTATACTAGCCATCCCCTGCCACGCATTGCTGTGGCCCACATGGGGATTCTGTGTGGGAGGTTGGGCCCAATTCTATCATTGGTGGGGTTCAGAATGCTCTGTGATTGTAGGTGAACTATAAATCCCAGCAACTACAGCTCCCAAAAGTCAAGATTCTATTTTCCCCAAACTCCACCAGTGTTCACATTTGGGCATATTGAATATTTGTGTACACTTTGGTCCAAATCCATGCTTGTTTGAGTCCACAGTGATCTCTGGATGTAGGTGAACTACAACTCCAAAACCAAAGGACACTGCCCACCAAACCCTTCCAGGATTTTCTGTCAGTCATGGGAGAACTATGTGCCAAGTTTGGTTCAATTCCATCGTTGGTGTGGTTCAGAATGCTCCTTGATTGTAGGTGAACTACAAATCCCAGTAACTACAACTCCCAAATGACAAAATCATTTTTTTTTGCATGAAGGACATACATTGAGTTCTTAGGTGTCTTGTGTCCAGATTTGGTGTCAATTCGTCCAGTGGTTTTTGAGTTCTGTTAATCCCACAAATGAACGTTACGTTTTTATTTATATAGATATGCTGTATTTTGGGTTTTTTTTAACTTTGCTTCGCTGGGGTGTTGTGTGTGTGTGTGTGTGCATGTGTGTGTGTGTTTATGGGTGATGGACATTCGTTGGACTGTTAGGTAGATTGTGTCCAAATTTCATGTCAATTAGTCCAGTGGTTTTTGAGTTCTGTTAATCCCACAAACGAACATTGCATTTTATTTATATAGATGCTCTTTTGTTTCGGTGGACAGATTGTTGCCTGCTCTTGCCCACTTACAAGCAGCAGCTTAAGAAGACTGATAGGCATTTATGGACAACCTACTCTAGGATCTGGGTAATTTTAGGAAAAGTCCCGGCTGGAAGGCAAATGAGTCCCTGCAGTTCACCTGCTGCTGCTCCAAGCTGATCATGGAGTCGTTGCTCCCGCTCCGGCGCTTTCTCTGGAATGCTGCTATTTCCTCAGTCTTGATGCGAAGGATCTTCTGATGCTGCTCGTGCTTCAGTTCCAGCTCCTAAAAGGGAGGGAGAGGAAGTACTACACAGATAAAGATCTGACAACAAGAAGAGAAAAATACGGTGGGAAATATGAGGCCTACAGCACTTCTAGAGCCTGCGGTGGTGCAGCGGGTTAAACCACTGAGTTGCTGAACTTGCTGACCAAATGATTAGCTGGCTCCAGCTTCCACCAACCTAGCAGTTCGAAAACATGCAAATGTGAGTAGATCAATAGGTACAGCTTCGGTGGGAAGCTGTACCTATTGATCTACTCAATAGGTGGGTTAGCAGTTCAAATCTAGGGAACAGGGTGAGTTCCTGCTGCTAGCTRCAGCTTCCACCAACCTAYCAGTTCYAAAACATGCAAATGTGAGTAGATCAATAGGTWCAGCTTRGYTGGGAAGGTKATGYTGCTCCATGCAATCATGCTGTCCACGTGGCTTAGTGGTGCAGTGGGTTAAACTGCTGAGCTGCTGAACTTGCTGACTGAAAGGTTAGCAGTTCAAATCTGGGGAACAGGGTGAGTTCCTGCTGCTAGCTCCAGCTTCCGCCAACCTAACAGTTCAAAAACATGCAAATGTGAGTAGATCAATAGGTACAGCTTCGATGGGAAGGTAATGATGCTCCATGCAATCATGCTGTCCACATGACCTATGGAGAAAGGCAGCTCTTTGGCTTAGTGGTGCAGRGGGTTAAACTGRTGAGCTGCTGAACTTGCTGACRGAAAGGTTAGRAGTRCAYATCTGGGGAACAGGGTGAGTTCCTGCTGCTAGCTRCAGCTTCCGCCAACCTAYCAYTTCYAAAACATGCAAATGTGAGTAGATCAATWSGTACAGCTTCYYTGGGAAGGTAATGYTGCTCCATGCAATCATGCTGTCCACATGACCTATGGAGAAAGGCAGCTCTTTGGCTTAGTGGTGCAGCGGGTTAAACRGTTGAGCTGCTGAACTTGCTGACTGAAAGYTTAGCAGTTCAAATCTYGGGAACAGGGTGAGTTCCTGRTGCTAGCCCCAGCTTCTGCCAACCTAACAGTTCGAAAACATGCAAATGTGAGTAGATCAATAGGTACAGCTTCGGCAGGAACAGGGTGAGTTCCTGCTGCCAGTTCCAGCTTCTGCCAATTTAGCAGTTCGAAAACATGCAAATGTGAGTAGATCAATAGGTACAGCTTCAGCAGATGGTAACAGCGCTCCTTGCAATCATGCCGGCTCTTCGGCTTAAGAAATGGAGATGAGCACCACCCCCAGAGTCAGACGTGAATAGACTTAATGTTAGTGGAAAACCTTTACCTTTGATAATAACTAAGAATTTCTGGGGGAAAGAAGGCCACTGCTTTCGAAGCCCACCTGCCCCTACCTTGACGCGGTGCTGCCCTTTGTGCATCTCGGTCTCCAAGCGCCGCTTCTGCTCCACTTCCTCCCGCAGCCTCCTCTGGAGCTGCCCTTGCTGCTGGCGCATCAGCTGCACGTTCCTCTCCAGCTCCTGCAGCCGCTTCTCGTTTTGGGCAGAGAGAGAGGCCAACTTCTCCGTAGCTTGCTTCTTCTCCTGCAGGATCTATTCCAAGACAAATGAGGGTGGGGGGCATTTGACCAAAGACAGTGAAGTCTCGACCTCTCCAGTCACCCTTCCAGAATCAGGAGTTTGCCTGACGAGTGATTGGGAGTCTTTTCCTGGGCTCACCTTGACTTTACTCTGAGCGGCTGCCACTTTGCTGCGATACTCCTGGAGCTTCTGCTTCTCGGCAGGGTCCCGGGTCTCCCTCCCTTCCAGCTCCTGAAGCTGTCTCTGCCCATCGCTTAGCTCCACTCGCACCTGTTCGGCCTCCTGCTCCAAATCACGGATTTTCTGGCAATACTGCTTGTTCATGGTCTGAGCATGCTTGCCTGCGAAACAGACACATCCATAAAGAAGGCTAGAAACAATATCATAAGAGAGTGTAGAAACAGTAATATATGAAAGCTGAGTGGCACAACCTGGGGATCACAATCAGACACAGTGAAGACATCTGCCCTTGCACTTTGCTACACTCCTGTTGAATATTCATGTTTGAGGACCAGGACATCCATAGGGATACCAAGGTGCTTGTTTATAAAGCTATTCCCCTTCCAACCCTGCTATTCGCCTGGGAGACGTGGACTACCTACAGACGTCACATGCAACTCCTAGAACGGTTCCATCAGCGATGCTTCCGAAAAATCCTGCAAATCTCTTCAGAAGACAAGCAGACAAATGTCAGCATTCTGGAAGAAGCAAAGACTATCAGCATTGAAGCGATGGTCCTCCACCATCAACTACACTGGACCGGCTACGTTGTCCAGATGCCCAACCACTGTCTCCCAAAGCAGTTGCTCTACTCTGAACTCAGGAATGGAAAATGGAATCTTAGAGGGCAGGAAAAGAGATTTAAAGATGGGCTCAAAGACAACCTTTAAAAATCTGACATAGACACTGAGAACTGGGAAGCCCTGCCCCTGAGTGCTACAGATGGAGGTCAGCTGTGACCAGCAGTGCTGTAGAGTTTGAAGAGGCACGAATGGAAGGCAAAAGAGAGAAACATGCCAAGAGGAAGGCACGTCATCCAACCCCAACTGGGACCGCATTCCACCTGGAATCCAATGCCCTCACTGTGGGAGAAGATGCAGGTCAAGAATAGGGCTCCACAGTCACCTACGGACCCACCGCCAGGACACCGATCTTGGAGGACAATCCTACTCAGACAACGAGGGATCGCCTCAGTAAGTAAGTAAGTGACATCTCACCACATTAAAATAATGAATGTGACTCTTAATGAGACATGCCACATTATCACAGGATGCCTATCCCCAACAATGCTGGAGAGATTTTACTGTTTAGCTGGTATTGCACCACCTGTCATCCACTGGGAAGTAGCAGCCAGTAATGAAAGGACCAAGGCATTGACATCTCTGGCCCATCAGAGTTTGGATATCGGCCAGCATGCTTACCATTTCCTAAGATCTACAGAGATACTCGCAGGAACACCTCAGCAAGCAAGAGTCCAAAAGTGGCAGGCTAAAATCCAGAACCTCAAGCAGTGGCTGAGACCAGATGAGAAACTCCCTATTGGGCACACAGAAGACTGGGTGACTTGGAAGGCACTGAACAGACTGCGCTCTGGCACCACAAGATGCAGAAACAATATTCAGAAATGAGGCCATGACATGCAAATGTGGAGAAGAGCAAACCACAGACCACCGACTACAATGCAGTCTGAGCCCTGCCTTATGCACAATGGAGGACCTTCTCATAGCAACACCAGAGGCACTCCAAGTGGCCAGCTTCTGAGCAAAGGACATTTAATATAATGCCACGTTTTTAACTTTGTCATTTTTAAAATACATTATAACTGTATACTCTATTTGCTTCCGCTATGATAAATAAACAAATAAAATAAGGAAGGCTTTCTGGAATACAAAGCAGCTAATTAATTCAGTGATGCAGTTTCTGTGGTGGCTTGGAGAACCCTAAGTATTGGTGGTGGGAGCTCATGAGCTGCTGACCAATGCTGCCTAGTCATAACCCTGCAGCTCCGCTTGCTCCTGCCAGAGAGGCTGCTCCGTACCTGTCTTGATGAGTTCCACAATCAGGTCCTCCTTCATGCGGATGTTGATAGCCAGCTCACGGATCTTCTGATGAGCCTGAAGTAAGCGCCACTCCGAATCCTTTCCTGAAAAACCTTCTCCAAGGCTGCCCTGTTCTCCTCTCCTGCAGTCTTCTGTGATACAAAAAGGACATTTGAGGCTGGGAAGGAGGCAACCAAGTACATAATCCAGAGTGGGCTCAAACACCAAGACCTCTCCCATCTTAAAATATAGCTGTGCCTCTTCCAAACCTATGATTCAGCCTTCTTCAACTGGTGGCGCAATGGGTTAAACCTTTTTGCTGGCCGCAACTGAAGACCGACAGGTTGGAGGTTCAAATCCAGGGAAAGTGCGGATGAGTTTTTTCTGTCAGCTCCAGCTCCCCATGCGGGGACATGAAAGAAGCCTCTCTGGTGTGACAGAATTGTCCGTCTGCAAGGACGTTGCCTAGGGGACGCCCAGATGTTTGATATTTTACCATTCAGTGGGAGGCTTTTCTCATGTCCCCACATGGAGAGCTGGAACTGACAGAGGGAGCTCAACTTGTCCTCTCCAGATTTGAACCACTGACCTGTTGGTCAGAAAGTCCTCCCAACTCAAGGGTTTAACCCACTGTGGCTATATATATATATATATATATAT